ATTATCAAGACAATTTTACTCCTAATGTTTGCTTTATTAACGGAACAGACACAATTAGGAAGGCCTTTCTGTGGCTCCAACTTTATGCGACCACGCAAAAAGAAAATCATAATGAAAGACAAAAATGATCATTGCAAAATAATAATTTTATTTTGCATGATATTGTATACATATTATATAATATTTTTATTTATCATTTTAAGATTAGGTAAAATATTTTTATTAAAATTATCATTGCATTAAAACTTTTACACACCTCAACTTCTCTTTCTTTTTTCTATCTTTTTGCTTAGTTCACCATTTTTTTATTGATTAATGTACTTAAATACTCAAGCATTCAGATAAATTTTATTAAATCATCTTCAAGAATTTAAATTAATTAATTAACAGCAATTATTCTATCTTAATTTATAATCTCATTTTGAATATCAGTTAATATGATATACACTCAAAGAGATTGATGTAGTATCTAATTCGAATAAAATTATTTTTAATAAAAGATATAATTACAAAAACATATTAAATGACTCTTTCAATATATATATATAATGAGAGTATATACACACACGATAAATGAATAATAGTTTTTTTTTTATTACTGAATAAATAATAGTATATCGTAAAAAAAATAAAATTATAACAATAAAAAAATAAACATTATATCACCTAAAATTAAAAAATAAATATAATAGTACAGTAATAAAAAAATTTGTCTATGGTCAAAGGCCACGTGCTGTCCCCACAGCCAAAAAGCACAAAACTAATCCTTTTTTACGATTTGTAGCTAATGTTGGCTCCAAAAAATTTTTGCATACGGTTAAGTTTAGACACAACACTTTAAGCTAAATAAATTGATCACATACATATAAATGCAATAAAAAATAAAAAATAAAATATTTAGAAGATAATATCTCAAATGTGACAATATATAACATACATTTTTGTTAAAAATATAAATATTGACCATATTGCAAAAATTAAAAGAAAGGAAAAACATTTCACCAATTTAATAAAAAAATTGTTGTTGTTGTTGTTATTATTCACATAAAATTATTAGAAATATCTTTAAATATGAAAAAAATATAAAATTAATTAATCCTAACATTCAATGATTTTTTTTTATGTTGTAAATATTTAAAAACTAAAATTTAATTGTATAAATATAACAAAACTAATTAAATTGTTTAATTTAAATGACTAAATTAATATGTAAAGAATATATATATATATATGTCTTGTGCGTTCCATGCATTCAAAGTCTAGTTTTGTATTAAACTTCTTTATTTCTTTTATTAATTAATTATTTTTATTTTAATATAGTAATATAATCAACAAAAAGAATTAATATAATGTCTTAAAATTTTAAAAATAACATAAATAAAATAATTGTTAAAAGTGAAAAAGAAAAAAAAATAGAAAGCATCTTTATTTTATATAATTTGAACTACTGATATTTTAAAGAGGTCACAATTAACAAGATAAAGCTTATTAACTATTTAAATAAAAAACAAATTAGAAAGAAAAAGGAAGAGAAAAAAAAAGAGAGTAAAATCTTTAGCGTAACCAAAACACATCCCTTCTTGTTCGGAGCAAGAAGTGGCCAATCCAAAGCAAATTACAAATGCATGGAATTTGCAATTCAGCCATTGTGCTGTGTTTGTTCGTTTCTCAACCAAAGTAATGGTAATCTAAACTCTAAAGTGTTTTTAATGGATTGATTTTATTTTTTTTACAGTTTTAATAAAATGATTTTGAGTTAGAGTTATTTTAAATAGTTAGAAAGAGAGTTTGCCACTTACTAATGAATTTGAAGCAATTATGAGAAGTGGTTTTAGAAAAGAGTGTTTCCTCTCCGAACAATAATGGATAATATTGATCGAACAGAAAAACGATGTAGCAACCTAGAAATAGCGAAGGTAGGGCGACGTGTCAAGAAGGCATAAGCTAAAAAGGTGATTATGGAGAAAAGTAGGTGACGGGGCAGAGCAGCACAATGCGACAGACACCAATGAATGCATCTGAATCTGAAGGAACATTAACTTTTACCTGTTGTTACTTCCTGTCTCATTCAATGCTCATGAGTATGCATCATTACAACCTACTCCCAAAACACTTTCACAATCACAATTCATTACAAACAAACCCTGTTTTTAGTTTTTACTTCTCAGCTGTGCAACTTATTTTGTGAACGTATATCTTACTTACAAGTTTTATTTTATAATTAATTAGTTAAATCGTATATATTAATATCAATTATTTTAAAATTTTAAATATAAATCTATAATGATGGTTAATTTTTATTAAATTGAATATTATTTTAAGTAAATTTTAAATTTTTCACTAAATAATACTACAAACTCTTAATGAGTTAAAAATTTTTACTATCAAACACCTTTTTAATTTATTTTTTTATTAATACAAAATTATTTTAATAACTGATTATATTTATAGTTAATTATCATGGTAATTGATTATATAAAATAAATTTTATATTTTTATGTGTTAAATGAAAGGTTATTTTAAAATGATTTATTTCATTTGATTTATATAAAAAATTATTTTTTGAGTAAAATTATAAAAAAAAGATATAAAGTTGTGTATAATGGTAATTTATCGTTTAAATTATTAATACTAAACAAAATAATAAAATAAATATATAATTTTTAATCATAAACTTAAAAAATTTCTTATGTGAAATAAATTTTTTGTAAAAATGATAAAAAAAATTATAAGTTAATTTATAAAATTTACCCAACAAAATTAAATAGTGATTTTTTTTTCCAAACATTCAACCAATATAATTTAATCCAAACGCACAATTAAAGTGAGTATAGAGTTATTATTATTTACAACTATCAATTATTTTAATCCTGGTTTAATAAAACTATCATTCTATTTTTAAAAATTTTAAAACTATTTAATTTTATCATTGTATGAATGGCTATAAAAATTTAAATAAAAATAATTAAAATGAATCCGTTTTTGTAATATTAAAAATAAAATATAAATTAGGTTAAATTTATATAAAAAAGAGAGAATGAATAAACCTAAAAAAAATGTATTTTATCCTATTTATTAGGCATCAATGTTTGTTTGTTTACTTGTTATAAAATGATATTTTTTTATTCACGAGAAAATTATAAGGAAATTATTGGTAGGTAAGCATTATGTGTGTGTGTGTGTATGTGTAAGGTACAGAACAAATATTGCAAGAATAAATATCACAATAATAAAAATGGAATAAATAGGGGTAATATTTTAGTAGAGATAGAAAGAATAGAACAAATGAAGTGTATATTAAAAGAATAATCTTCCTAAGGTAAAAATAAAAGGTGGAACAAAAAGTTAATAATGAGTGTAGCTAACTTTTATCCTTTTTTTCTATCAAAATCATGCTACTTAATTACTAAATAATTACAATGAAATAACTAATAAGGGTAATGTTCTAAAAGAAATAGCAAAAGATATAAAACAGATGAAGGATATAATGAAATAAATAATATCTTCTTAAGGTGAAAATAAAGATAAAAGAAAATAAATAAATAATAGATGAATAATCTTTTATACATAACTAATATTTGTTGGTTTAGATTATAAAAAGTTTGGTTTTTTAATAGAATTTTATCTCTAAAGTGGAGCCTATTATGTTCGACGAAAATTATTAGTCGAGAATCTAAAGTTACATTTGAATGTCAATATCTCATTAAGACGGTGTTTGAAAGATTTCTAGAAAACTTATTTGAACTTATTTTATTTTATAAGAACTTAAGTAATGTTTGGTTAAATTTATGATAATGATTTATAATTTCTTATAAACTTGTTTAGTTCATTTTAATAAATTTTACTATACTTATACAGGTCCCAGCTAGTACTCATTTCCCATGTTATTTGTTTTCTTTGTAACAAACGATCTAATTATTGAATTATGTGCCTTCATTAGGTGCTGTTTTATTTAATAAATATTTAATTAAAATGTTTGCATAAATACATTTTAAGTCATTTAATCATTAAAGAAAATAGAAATAGTTTCCTTTTATTTTAACTGTTACGTCATAACATGTTGCTTTTTAACAAAATTTATAAATAAAATTAAATATATTTAGTTTTACTTTCTCAAATAAATACAAATAAAGGTACAAACCATAAAATAGTAAACAAATTATACTGAGAAGGAAGAGACTGAAACACGTTCAGAGTAATAATTTGAGTGGCTGTCTCTACTTACCCTATAAAACTTTTGAATGGTGTATATATACGGCTTTTTTGCCCTTTAAGGGTTAATTTAAAAAAAATTTATGTAAATAAGGTTTCATGGAAACAAATTCTTGGTATGGGGTTGCGAGCTATGTGGCAAGAGAATCGTCTTTGTTCTAGACGACACAGGTGCTGACGTGTCGAAATAAGAGAGTGTCGTCTCCTAATGGGACGACACTCACCAGATCGCGCCACGTGTCATGGGAGGAACTAATGTCGTCTTATTTGGGACGATTTTAGTAGTGCTCACTGCAGAGCCGATTTTACTGCGACCAGTAGATAAAAATTTTGATACATTCTTTTATCCAAGATAGAAACCCTATAAATATGACCATGGAGCTCGGGAAAAAATTGCATTGGCTTGGGAAGAGATAGGAAGTGTGTAGCAGGGATAGAAATCACAATCATAGCTCAATCAAGTTAGTTTTTAAGCATTACAAATATATAATTTATTTTTAATGGTTATTAAGAATTTTTACTTTGCATAATAATATTTAAAATATTTATTTAATGGCTATTAAGTGTTAAAGTTGTAATTTAATTTTTTTGTGTTATTTAAAAATTAAATATGTAAATATTTGTAATTCAAAATGAACTTATAAATATAATTTATTATATTATAAATTAATTTTGAAATGAGCTTCAGTTATTTTTAATGCAGGATGAATGAAATTGTTGTTATATTATATTCAAATGGTAGAATATATGAAGGAAATGAGGGTATAATTTTTGAAGGGGAGAAAAAGATGATTAAGATAGAACGTGGGATCACATTTGAGATGTTTAAAAGGAAGATCCAGACAAAACTGAAACTGTCTAGTTGTCACGTAATTTCTAGATTAATTGCACGAATTTTAGTTGGAACAAATGGTCGATATCATACAGCTCTAGATGTATGTGACGATGAAGATATAGATTGCATGATAAGTGCTTGTCAACAACAACATCATAGGAATGTAGTTGAGATATATGTGGATGTTGCGGTTGGTGAAACATCTTCTGTTGTAGCACGTCCGTTAGAAGTGAATTTATCATTCTCACATATTCATGGAAGTGATGATGATGATTATGCCACAAGAGAAGGTAATATGAATTTATTTAATTTAAATTTTTAAAATTGATGCTGCAATATTAATTAATAATATAAGTTTACAATGTACAATTTACAGATGAAGATGATGAAGATGATGAATATGAAGATGAAGAAGATATTTCATTAAATAATTTGTCAGATACTGAGACAGATGATGATTGTGATTCAATGATCAATATGAAAGGTATTGTAAGAGTTAGTTCAACACAACAACAACAAGGAGGTATGATTTTAGATAGTGATGCCAATTATATATTTTCATTACTTATATTTGTAGTAATGTATAAATTGTTAATTAGGGTATAAGTTTGACGAATGAATTGTTGTAATACAGAAGCAACATTGCCCTTTTGGAATATAAGTCCACATTACAGTTATATTAATTGGGAACACTCTGATCAAGAATTAGATTTTGTTGGTATGAATGACGCGCAATCATGGAAGGAAGGAGATGCATTATATGTTGGACAACTATTTGACACTAAAGAAGATGTAAGAATGGCTGTAAAACATTACGCCATGAGGAAACATCAAACTTTTTTTGTGGTGGAGTCAAAAGCAACAACATATGTTGTGAAGTGTGTCAATCACAATAGTGGATGTCCTTGGAGAGTTCGAGCATCCTTGCCAAAAAATGCAGACAAGTGGAAAATTATAAAGTGGGGTGGTGCCCATACATGCGTAAATGTTTCAATCTCTCAAGACCACCAAAAGTTGGATTCCAAATTTATTTGCTCATGCATTCTTGGTATGTCTAATCTTGTATTAAATTTTATTATTTTGAAATAGAAAAAACTAACTAATTTTCACCCTATTACATCCCAACAAATTTAAAAACTCTGTCATTATATGCGATGCAGGTATGGTGAAAGAAGAACCATCAGTCCCGATTTCGTTAATTCAAGAGAGAATTAGTGGTCAATTTGGATATTCAATTTCGTACAAGAAGGCATGGAAAGCAAAACAAAAAGCAATAGTTACTGTCTTTGGTGATTGGGACGAATCTTATGCTGCATTGCCAAGATGGCTAGAGTACATGCAATTACATGCTCCTGGATCTGTATACAAAATTGAAACAAATGATTGTGTTGAAGGTCACACCGTGGATAATAGATATCGAGTTTTTCATTGGTTGTATTGGTCGTTCAAGCAATGTCATGAAGCTTTCAACTTTTGTAAGCCTATAATACAGGTAGATGAAACATTTTTGTACGGTAAGTACCGACAAACTTTGCTAATTGCTACGACTCAAGATGGTAACAATTGTGTGCTTCCCATTGCATTTGCCATTGTCGAAGGAGAAACGTTATCTGCATGGGAATGGTTTTTAGCCATGATTCGTATACATGTGACAAATAAGGCAGGGCTATGTTTGATCTCAGATCGACATCAAAGTATAAAAGGTGCAGTCTCTAATCCACATCTAGGTTGGCAACCTCCAAATGCTTATCATGTTTATTGCATTCGTCACATTGCCAGCAATTTCAATCGACGATTCAAAAATACCATGTTGAAGAAAAAACTAATTCAATTAGGTACATATTCTGCCCATTTGATTCATTTAAGTTTTAATAGATTTTGAATTTTTAACCTGTACATTATACCTTTTTCTGTTAAACGCAGGATATACACCATCAAAACAGATTTTTGAATCTAAACTTAATACGTTTCGATCACAATCACCTGAAATTCAGACTTGGATAGATAATATATCAAAGGAAAAGTGGAGCTTGGCTTATGATGATGAAGGACGTCGTTATGGACACATGACTACTAATTTGTCTGAGTCTGTAAATAAAGTTTTGAAAGGGGCAAGAAACCTTCCTATTACTGCCTTGGTCAAAGCTACGTATGCCCGATTGGTAGAATATTTTGTGAAGCGTGGTGAAACTGCAATGCATAAGGTTAACAATGGAGGAAGATATTGTCAGAAATTAATGGAAGCTATAGAAAAAAATCAACAAGTATCTTCACATCAAGTTCAGCGGTATGACATACAAAGAACAAGGTTTGAGGTTGAGGAAGCTTTTAATCCAGTGACACAAAGGGGTGGTCATAAGTGGACAGTCATATTATCAACACGTTATTGTGAATGCGGGAAATTTAAGGCTCTCCGATATCCATGCTCACATGTCATAGCTGTTTGTGCTCATATAAGTATAGACTTTTGGCAATTTGTGGATCCTGTTTATACTTTACATAATGTTGTGAATGCATATTCATCTCAGTGGTGGCCTCTTGGAAATGAAAATAATATTTTACAAAATACTGAGTGGAAGTTAGTGCCAGATGTAGAAAGAGTACGAGGTAAAGGAAGACCAAAGGCTACTAGAATTAGGAATGAAATGGATTGGGTCGAGTCACAACCACGACAAAGATGTAGGTTGTGTAGACAGCCTGGTCATAATCAACGTCAATGTCCTCAACAGAATGATCGTAATCATCACCATGTGTAAGAAGTTGTTGCATTTCACTTCAAATTGTTGTTGTTAATGTTATTAAAGTGTACTGTGATATTATGTTGTTAATGTGACCATCTGTATTAACGTATATTTTTATTAATGTCAATGAGAGTGTAACGCATATTTCCTTATTAATGTGATTAACAACACTGTTTTAGGTAATAAGTCAAGTAATATAGTATAGTAATATATCATGTGGTAGAATATTAATAAAAAGTGCAACATACTCATAAGATGGTAAATACATAAATAACAAGACATCAATCTGAATCCAAGGATTGGTCCGCATGCCCTGCCTCATGAGGTGTGAGTATGCACTGTCGACGACGATCTCGTGCTTCACGATGAGGGTTCCGACGCACTTCTTGGACCTCCGCATCAGCAGCAATTATAAAATCTGCATTAAGATCAATGTCATGCTCCTCACGTGGTTGGACTGATGATGTTTCCCACCCCTGGTCACTCTGATGAGAGTGTACAGCTGGTGCATCAGGCGTAAAGAATGATGGCTCATAAGGAGGAGGTGTCATGTAGAGACTACCGTCGGGGACATAGTATTGATCACTGCTAAATGGTGATACAGTAGGCTGTGAAGTGTACTGTGATGCGTGAAAATAGGATGTCTGAGTAGCGTGGGAAGGGTTGAAGGGAAACTGTGGTGGGACATAATATATGCCATCTCTGCGTTCTGGCAAAGGGGGAAGTGACCACTCTGTCGCCTACAATTTGTCCCACGAGAAACATTTAAGCACACAAGACATACTCATAAGATGGTAAAAAGAAATATAATAGTGTATTACCTTAACTTCTATTCGACGACGCTGTAAACCTTTTCCTTCCTTACGGTCTACAGGTTGACCAATGTCAATGTCTGGATCAGCTGGATTTCCACTCTGAATAGGAGGGTCAAACGAAGAAGCAGGCTCTAAGATGCGTTCCTGCTCATTCTGTAGTGAGAGCATGGTCTCACACAACTCGTTCATCTCCTCAAATGAAAATGAGTCTTTACCATCATTACACAAGTAATATGCTCTTTCATGAGCATCTCCCTGCAATAAGACAATATAAATCTTGATCAAATGTGAAATCAAATTTTATTCAAATAGTGTGCAATTCTGTTAATATTACTTACAAGTAATACAAATACAGCTGCATCCCTGGTCATCCATCGTATGTACCACCGCATATAGTCAGAGTTAGAACTTAACAACCCAATTTGAGGATCATTAGTCATTACCCAGGCTTCTCGCATGTCCCATAGCTCCACTATGCCTCTGAACTTGGTTGACCAATTCTCACCAGTCTTTCCTCTCAAAGTAATGTCGTGTAGCTAGTCAGGTTGGTATGGAGCACGAGGAATATGTTGAACCATCCCAAATTGCTGCATTACACGGTCAGGTTGGTGCCACTCACAAATTTGAAAACATATAAGTGGCACAACTGACCTCCAAATATTCGCTCCTTCAATGCAAATAGCAGGCAAAGAATTCATCAACTCCATACTATACGGTTGCCATACAAACTGCATTTTCAAAGTCCCTCAAATGAATAACAAAGTTGTAAATATTAATAAGTCAAGTAAAATGTTTTGTTCCACGTATATTAACAAAATACCTCATCACGTTTCATATGATCAAACTTATATCTGTAGTAAGCGAGATCTCTTTTCCCCCTCCCATAACTTCGACTCACTAACCACCTGCAAGACATACATATAAATCAAAATCAGCGTTACAGAGTTTGAACTGTATACATATATGACAAAATACAATCATTCAGAACATACCGTGCACCGTAAGGAAGCTCTAGTCGTGTGTGGACAAGATTATTAGACTGTAAAAATGGAAACCTATCCCATGCCCACATCATAAGTAATGGGGTTAATCCTCCAATACCAGAACGCTCAATATTGGTCGACATGCATAACTCTCGGTATAGGAATGCCAATGCTGCAGCTCCCCAACTATACTGTGCTGTGATAGTAAAATCCTCTAGCAATGGAAGGTACCTAACTGGGACTCTGCTAGAGGAATGATCAGCCAACATGAACCCATCTATTAGCCTCAGAATATAAGCTCTAGCAAAGCGAGTAAGCTGAAGTTCATTATGATTATGCATTGCAACATGTGTAAAGTGTTGGTCCAACCAACTCAACTTCAAACTACTCCCCATAAATGCATCAGCAGGTGGTCTAATACCAAGCAAATCTTCCACAATTTGTGTCTTATCACCTCCTACAGCTGCAATCACTGCCTTTCCATCTATACGAAGTCCTGTCTGAATAGCAATGTCCTGAAGAGTTATAGTACACTCTCCAGGAGGCATGTGGAAGGTATGTGTCTCTGGCCTCCATCTTTCAACCAAGGCTGTAATAAGATGTCGATCAATAGGAAAGCATGCCAACTGAGCTACTCCAGCAAATCCAGCTAAGGTTAGATGAGGAAGTATCTCCACTGGAACCCCTTCCAAGCCAGCCGGTATGAAGTGACTCCTTCTCACCTTTAAAACTGGGTGCTCACGTCCATCCCAAATATGCTCTGATACGTGAACAGACTGATACCTCAATAATGAACCATCCTCCGGGCCAGGATTTAAAACTCTACTTTGCGATGAAGATGATGCCATCTGAAATAAAATTTGTCAACTTCAACTGAAATTATGTACATTAAAATGAATAGATTAAATAAACATAAACATATAAGTTTATCATCTTATTTTTCATTACTACCTAATTTTTATTACAATTATTTAGCTATAACAATAACAAAATTTCAAATTAACATAAAAAAATATTTCATTTAATTATTATATTAAATAAATTTTAACAATTTAAAAACTTTTAAATATTAATTTATAATTATAATAAATAGCTATAAATGTAATTACATGTACTCAATTAATTCTGATTAACAATGTTTTATTTACTCTAAATTTAAAAAACTAATTATTATTCTTACTACATCTAATATTTTTTTGTCACAAATTCTTTATTATATCTTAATTTATCATCAAAACATAAAAATTTATTATTTCTTTAGGGTCATATAAAATTTTGCCCATTCTACTGCATTTCATATACTTTTTTCTCATTACTATGTTTTTTATTTCTTTTTTTTGAACTGTATATCTTAATATCAAATTTTCTTTCCTCTTCATTTAACAATTAATTACTATAACAATTTATCTTAATATCTTATAATTAAAATATATTATTGACTTACTAAAATTTAAATTTAATACATTCTTTAACTAACAAATTATAAATATTTAATATTATATTATACAATTTTTAATACCATTTATTTAAAATTTTAAATCATAAACTTTCAAGTAGATATGTAATGTTTTAAATATATTTGATGATATATTTATTATATTATTTATTGCTATTTTTTAATAAACTTATTTTTTAATATATATTTATAATATAACTGTATATGTTATTTTTATCAATAGTTTTAATAAAAATATTGTGTTTACACATATTCAAAAACTAAATATTATTTTTTTACTACTAACATTATTTTTTGTGTCAACAAATTTTTTTATATAGCAATCTACCATGTAAAGAACAAAATTCTTAATTAATTTCTCTTACATTTATTATTTAATATTTTTACTGCATGTGAATATATATTTTTTCATTATCATGTTTTTTATTTTTTTTAACTATATTTATTTATATATATGTTTCTTTCCTCTTAATTTATCTATTTATTACAATCAAAATTTTTCTTGTTATTTAATAATTAAACACATATTATGGATTACTATAATTTATATTTAATACATTTTTAAACAACTAATTATAAAACAATAACAATTATATTATTCAATTTTTCATAGCACTATCTAAAATTTTAGCTAACGAAATACAGAAATTAGTTTTTTAAATATTTTAAAACAAAAAAATAATTGTGCACCTGTGTTAGACTAAACACAATATATATTTTCTTCTTCAGCAACTCCACTGACCGCCACCGACCGCCACTCACTCGCCCAGAAAATGCCCTGCACCATAATCTCAATGTAAAATGCAACCAATCTCATATTTAAAAACTAAACTATATTTGATTTATTATTTCCTTTACCTTCTACTAATTTTTTCTTCCAATTTCTGAAAGCTCAGACCCAAAAACGTAGGCAATGCTATGATTTTTTCCCCAGGACCCTTTCTCCCTTTCTGCAACTGAAACGAAACGACGGAGAAGAAGGAGGAGGAAGAAGGAGCCGCGCCCAAACGGTCAAACTGCACCGCCACGTGGGCCAATCACAATTGTGTCGTCCCTGACGCAGGCGACACTAAAGTCGCCTCTGGAGCAGCCGACATTGAAGACGGCTCTGTACCAGCCGACACTGAAGACGGCTCTGGAGTAGCCGACACTGAAGTCGCCTATCTACCAGCCGACACTCCTACGATTTACATACGTGTCTCCTTTTCTTCCCCATCCGTTGATTATTTTTGAATCATTTTAACTTTTCTTTTTCATTTAATTAGTGTCGTCCAAAGAAGAGGGATGACTCTCTTGCCACGTAGATTTTCCAGCCCCAGACCGGAAATTTGTTCTCATGAAACCATATTTAGATAATTTTTTTTTAAATTAACGCTAAAAGGGCAAAAAAGCCATATATATACGTCTGTGAGTATGCAAGTTAACTGATATAAGAGATTACCAATGCAATGCAATGCAATCATATTGATTTGTAAATTAATGATGATAAAAAAAAGGACTGAGATTCCACAAGAAAGAGAAAGGGAGCGGTCTTGACTGATCAAAAGCTACCTTGTGTTAATTACCCATTAACCTCCAAATTCTCATTAGTTGAAAGGGATACTTGAAAAGAAAATAAAAATAAATAAAGTATATATTTTTTTTCTAGAGAAGAAATATCTTCACTTGAAAATTATTTTATTTAAAAGAAATGTCTTCAGTTAAAAGTAATTTTATTTTATTCAAATGTAATTATTACTGAGGATAACGTATGTATTTATA